TAGCTACGTGAACTTTTATTAAACAATGAGCTGGCTGGATTCTAGAACATCACCACGTGAAGTATATAAAATAATTTTTTTTAAAAATATATATATATATATATAAAAGGAAATTGGTTGAATTAGTATTATGTATTATACTCTTTTTGTCTCTGCAACACTAATTTTTGAAAGGTCAGTTTATTTGTCCAGTACTTGGCGACCTACTGGTCATCTTCCTTGCGGAATGTGCTTAGGGCATTATAACTTGAGTTTTATATGGCTTGATAATAAAAAAAATCTTGATAATAGGTGACTACTTTATTTTATGATTATAACTTTACAATTTGATACAATTTAAATTGTAAAACACCAATTAAATTGCAAAACAATAAATTATTTTTTGATAGTAATACTACAATTTCAATGTTTTTAGCTAATAAAAAAATTATAATTACAATATTATATAGAATTATAATCTTGCAATAGGACATAACATTAAATAAATATAATATAATATAATATTAAATAAATAAATGTTATAATATATATTATGGATAGACTTATAAATAAAAAAATTACTTATTTGATAAGATTTTATAGTATAAATTTATAATATTACCTAATATTATAATTATAATATATTTTTTTAAAGTTTACCGTAATCAAGTTGTTCGATTAATCAATCATTCAGATTAAAATAAAAAGAATGAAAAAGATAATGGATCAAGAATGATTTTACAGATGTTATGTATATTTGAAATTGAAAAAGAAGAATGTTTACATAATGGAGAATTAATGGTTTAACACTAATTAATTATAGCTTTAATATATGTATATATAAATTAGTGCATATTGGTCTCGATTTTAAAAAATAATTAAAGTTTAAATCTATATTTGAAAATTGATATATCATCTTATTAAATATTAATATTTAGATTTGAAAACTCATTATATATAGAGACGGTATTGAACCCCACGGGGCCGTGTAGTTCCTTTCCATTTAGGGGTTGAGTAGTCCCTTCCCATCCTTGCCCCCACAAATGGTGGGGACGGGGATCCCTGCAAGGATATTTATGAAGGGTAAATTTTACTTCTCATCCTCGTTCCTATGGGGAATGGGGATCTCTCCGTCAATTTATACTAAAATATGAAAATCATCACATATAATTAACTAATATTTAATTACAATCAATAAAATTCTAATAGTTCAAACATAATTAACCGAAGTTTTCTAAACATAAAATTAAATATAAATTGTATAAATATAAATAAAGATAAATCCAATATAAATAATTAAACCAACGAATTTATTCCTTAGACAACAGTAATAACATTTAGATTATACTTTTGCAAACTGTAAAAATACCATTAGTTGTAATCACTAAGGTCAATGGACAAGTGGTAAAGTAAAATATAAATTGTCCAAATATAAATAAAAATCAATCCAACATGAATAATTGAGTTGGGTTTGAAATGTATTGATATATTTGGTTGGATTAAATTTAAAATAAAATTAATTTATATATTTTTTAAAATTTTTTTGCAAGGATGGGAATTCTCGTGAGTCCTATGGGGTGGGGCAAACTCCTTGTGTAAATTTAGGGGGAAAAACTCCCTTGTCCTTGCCTCGCTCTCGTGGCGAGAATTTCAATGGACCCATAGAGATAGAAGGAAATTACCATCCTTAATCATATATTTTAATATAATCAATTTTTAAATTTAAATATTAATATTTAATAAGATAATTTTTTAAATTTTGAATTGAATTTTAATTAAATAAAATGATATAATTTAACATGGGGACTCTAATTATTTTTTGGAAATCGAGACTGATATACACTTTTCTTATAATATATGTATATATATTTTATTTTTAATAAGTTTAATTTAATTTTTAATTTTTTAAACATAAATTTTAAATAAAAATTTATAAAATGATATAATTTAACATGGGGACTCTAATTATTTTTTGGAAATCGAGACTGATATACACTTTTCTTATAATATATGTATATATATTTTAT